CTAAAAACCCCAAATTCTCTCTCCCATTCCGTCCACGAATCATCATAAAACATCCATAGGACAAAAGAAGTATAGGTGGCCAATATAATAGAAAAATGCAAGGTTCCCCACGTTTGTGGTTGGGCAGGAAGGGCCCACACACCCGTCTGCCGCCGAAGCGGCCCACTTGCACATACATGTGTATGTGTGTGTGTGTGTGTGTGTGTGTGTGTGTGTGTGTGTTGTTGTGTGCGTGTGTGTGTGTGCGTGTGTGCGTGTGTGTGTGCACGCCGACTGAAGTTTCAAACACATTGTTGTAACTACCTCACACCAGTCGTATGACTACATATCCACAGGTTAACGCGCGTGCACCACCCTCAATGGCAATTATTAATGTCAACAAATAACAGTAGTAAGCAATGTTGGGAGTTCGACCTGCCCGACCTCTTTTTCCTGGTAACACTGGGAAAGAGAAAGTTATTTCTCTTCCCATATGCAAGAGGGAACCTGTTGCACTCTGCAACAAGACCTCGTAAATCTCGTCAATCCGTGTTTGCTTATCTCGTAAAGCTCGGCAAATCTCTGTGCAATCTTTTTCATGGGGTGAAGAGGTAGCTTTTCACTTGTAAAACTTGTCAATCCGTGTTTGCTTCCGCCTGCCTGTGTATGATTTGTTGCGCTTCCCAAACTGGCAGATTTAGGTGGGTAGGTAGGTAGGGAGGGAAGGAATGGGAGATGGAGATATGCCTGTATTTGTGGTGGTGTGTACCGCAATTTGCTGTGCACAAGGCTTTCTTCTGTGTTTCCTTTTCGTCCTTGACAGTAGTTTTATTCTACTCTTTTCTACATGCATTGATCTACACAGGTAACGTTTTTTTCCGAAGGCCTTGCCGCATTTTCTGGGCTATGTGTTGTTTCTTACTCAGTGTGGCCCCTATATTTTTGAGGACGAATGTTAGTGTTTTTTCATTCCTATGGTCGAGCTTTGCAGTCTTACTTTTAGCGCGGGAGGGGCGGCTGAGCCTGCAATGTGTACTGCAGCAGCAGCACACTGTTCGTATGATTAATAAGATGTTAGTGGCGAATCTTGGAGATGATGAGGGAGAGAGGTGGCGGCAAGATGAGGGAGAACTGAGATTAGTTACAGCTTCTGTTCATCATCTTCTTCTTCTGTTCTTCATTCTTTTTATCCACTTGTTCCACTATTATCAGCTCTATTGCTGTCTCTTATACACATCTAGATGTGTATAAGAGACAGGCAGCACACTGTTCGTATGATTAATAAGATGTTAGTGGCGAATCTTGGAGATGATGAGGGAGAGAGGTGGCGGCAAGATGAGGGAGAACTGAGATTAGTTACAGCTTCTGTTCATCATCTTCTTCTTCTGTTCTTCATTCTTTTTATCCACTTGTTCCACTATTATCAGCTCTATTGCTGTCTCTTATACACATCTAGATGTGTATAAGAGACAGGCAGCACACTGTTCGTATGATTAATAAGATGTTAGTGGCGAATCTTGGAGATGATGAGGGAGAGAGGTGGCGGCAAGATGAGGGAGAACTGAGATTAGTTACAGCTTCTGTTCATCATCTTCTTCTTCTGTTCTTCATTCTTTTTATCCACTTGTTCCACTATTATCAGCTCTATTGCTGTCTCTTATACACATCTAGATGTGTATAAGAGACAGGCAGCACACTGTTCGTATGATTAATAAGATGTTAGTGGCGAATCTTGGAGATGATGAGGGAGAGAGGTGGCGGCAAGATGAGGGAGAACTGAGATTAGTTACAGCTTCTGTTCATCATCTTCTTCTTCTGTTCTTCATTCTTTTTATCCACTTGTTCCACTATTATCAGCTCTATTGCTGTCTCTTATACACATCTAGATGTGTATAAGAGACAGGCAGCACACTGTTCGTATGATTAATAAGATGTTAGTGGCGAATCTTGGAGATGATGAGGGAGAGAGGTGGCGGCAAGATGAGGGAGAACTGAGATTAGTTACAGCTTCTGTTCATCATCTTCTTCTTCTGTTCTTCATTCTTTTTATCCACTTGTTCCACTATTATCAGCTCTATTGCTGTCTCTTATACACATCTAGATGTGTATAAGAGACAGGCAGCACACTGTTCGTATGATTAATAAGATGTTAGTGGCGAATCTTGGAGATGATGAGGGAGAGAGGTGGCGGCAAGATGAGGGAGAACTGAGATTAGTTACAGCTTCTGTTCATCATCTTCTTCTTCTGTTCTTCATTCTTTTTATCCACTTGTTCCACTATTATCAGCTCTATTGCTGTCTCTTATACACATCTAGATGTGTATAAGAGACAGGCAGCACACTGTTCGTATGATTAATAAGATGTTAGTGGCGAATCTTGGAGATGATGAGGGAGAGAGGTGGCGGCAAGATGAGGGAGAACTGAGATTAGTTACAGCTTCTGTTCATCATCTTCTTCTTCTGTTCTTCATTCTTTTTATCCACTTGTTCCACTATTATCAGCTCTATTGCTGTCTCTTATACACATCTAGATGTGTATAAGAGACAGGCAGCACACTGTTCGTATGATTAATAAGATGTTAGTGGCGAATCTTGGAGATGATGAGGGAGAGAGGTGGCGGCAAGATGAGGGAGAACTGAGATTAGTTACAGCTTCTGTTCATCATCTTCTTCTTCTGTTCTTCATTCTTTTTATCCACTTGTTCCACTATTATCAGCTCTATTGCTGTCTCTTATACACATCTAGATGTGTATAAGAGACAGGCAGCACACTGTTCGTATGATTAATAAGATGTTAGTGGCGAATCTTGGAGATGATGAGGGAGAGAGGTGGCGGCAAGATGAGGGAGAACTGAGATTAGTTACAGCTTCTGTTCATCATCTTCTTCTTCTGTTCTTCATTCTTTTTATCCACTTGTTCCACTATTATCAGCTCTATTGCTGTCTCTTATACACATCTAGATGTGTATAAGAGACAGGCAGCACACTGTTCGTATGATTAATAAGATGTTAGTGGCGAATCTTGGAGATGATGAGGGAGAGAGGTGGCGGCAAGATGAGGGAGAACTGAGATTAGTTACAGCTTCTGTTCATCATCTTCTTCTTCTGTTCTTCATTCTTTTTATCCACTTGTTCCACTATTATCAGCTCTATTGCTGTCTCTTATACACATCTAGATGTGTATAAGAGACAGGCAGCACACTGTTCGTATGATTAATAAGATGTTAGTGGCGAATCTTGGAGATGATGAGGGAGAGAGGTGGCGGCAAGATGAGGGAGAACTGAGATTAGTTACAGCTTCTGTTCATCATCTTCTTCTTCTGTTCTTCATTCTTTTTATCCACTTGTTCCACTATTATCAGCTCTATTGCTGTCTCTTATACACATCTAGATGTGTATAAGAGACAGGCAGCACACTGTTCGTATGATTAATAAGATGTTAGTGGCGAATCTTGGAGATGATGAGGGAGAGAGGTGGCGGCAAGATGAGGGAGAACTGAGATTAGTTACAGCTTCTGTTCATCATCTTCTTCTTCTGTTCTTCATTCTTTTTATCCACTTGTTCCACTATTATCAGCTCTATTGCTGTCTCTTATACACATCTAGATGTGTATAAGAGACAGGCAGCACACTGTTCGTATGATTAATAAGATGTTAGTGGCGAATCTTGGAGATGATGAGGGAGAGAGGTGGCGGCAAGATGAGGGAGAACTGAGATTAGTTACAGCTTCTGTTCATCATCTTCTTCTTCTGTTCTTCATTCTTTTTATCCACTTGTTCCACTATTATCAGCTCTATTGCTGTCTCTTATACACATCTAGATGTGTATAAGAGACAGGCAGCACACTGTTCGTATGATTAATAAGATGTTAGTGGCGAATCTTGGAGATGATGAGGGAGAGAGGTGGCGGCAAGATGAGGGAGAACTGAGATTAGTTACAGCTTCTGTTCATCATCTTCTTCTTCTGTTCTTCATTCTTTTTATCCACTTGTTCCACTATTATCAGCTCTATTGCTGTCTCTTATACACATCTAGATGTGTATAAGAGACAGGCAGCACACTGTTCGTATGATTAATAAGATGTTAGTGGCGAATCTTGGAGATGATGAGGGAGAGAGGTGGCGGCAAGATGAGGGAGAACTGAGATTAGTTACAGCTTCTGTTCATCATCTTCTTCTTCTGTTCTTCATTCTTTTTATCCACTTGTTCCACTATTATCAGCTCTATTGCTGTCTCTTATACACATCTAGATGTGTATAAGAGACAGGCAGCACACTGTTCGTATGATTAATAAGATGTTAGTGGCGAATC